TGGAGACCCACCCTGGAGTAGTGACCCACCCTTTTCCAATAAACAACCACTGAACCAAGATTCATGTGGCATTTTTATTCAACCCACTAGATTGCCCAGAAAAGCCTACCTTTCCCATTGTTCACACAGTCACTCAAGTAATACTGTATTTCATGTGGAGTCTAAGATGGCTCCCAGGTGAGCCTGAGAGAGTTCATCTGTGAGTTGGAAGGATATTTTGCAACTCTCCCTCAATGAGAAGGGTCTTTTCTCTCCCTCAATGAGAAGCTTACCCAGGAAATCACACTGCTTTGCAGGGAAACTGTGACTGATTTGGTTGCAGATAGATCTCTTGGCCTCCTGCATTTAGTTTGGTAGCATGTGAGGGCACTAAAACGTCATGATGGGAAGAAGTTTAGCAGATGAAAATACAGACAGTGCCAATGCAATCTGTCTTATAATAAAAAAATTATATATACTCACATGACTTTAATAATTGGCAAAGTTGAATCAATGCATGTACATAAGATGACGTGAGTACACTTTACTATGTTGTTAGAAGAAATTTCAAATGGAATAAAAAATGCCGAGATTGAGAGTTTTCAGAATTGTGCACCAGATTTCTGGCAAGGTAAAATCATACAATATTTGTTTTCCTAACTCTACAGTCCTCTAACTTTATAATTTGAGGCTTAATAAAATTAAGTGTTGAGTGAAAACAAATTCCTAAAATGTAACCAAATCTATCTGCTCATGCCAGACTTAAACCTCAGAGGAAGATTTTCTAAGCTCCTATAGAGGAAGTGTTTTTTTCTCTTCTTCCTGTCTGCATCTCAAAGGAGTTCAATCTAGTAGTGCAGCTGCAAATGAGCGAGCTGGAAAAACAGTGCTTGGTTCTCCATTCCCCAAAATGCGGCAGGATGAAAAAATGGAAACCTCCAATCCTAATGCAGATGTCCTGGACAATGACTACCATACTCCTGTCCCCATTCTATGGCATGCATATGGCTAGGGCCAAACACATAGTAGGCACTTTATAATTACTTATTCAATGAATCCTACAATATGCTGGAGTGCAGTGTTGTTCAACTTATCAGTTGCAACCCTATTGTTGGATTAAGAAATCAATTTAATGGTCACAGTGTATTTCAAAAAATAGAACATTATAGGGTAGAAAATAAAGGGGCTTATCATAGAAATTAAAAGCCTGCATTTGTGTTTCTACTGGGTCACGATGTAAAGTGCATTTCTGAGGATATCGGGAAATATTAAAAGCCATTTGTGGAGTGGAAACTACTGGAGTATTTGAGTCAGATAGATTTAAATTTGAATTCTAATGCTTGCATGAGATGCGTGGGCATGTTACTTAAATCTTCCCAAACATCAAATATGCATTTAAAGTCTACTGTGTATTATGCACTATGCTCTGGGTGGAGTGTACTTTGGTGAAAAAGGTATGCTCCTTGACTTTAATAACTGTCAGTTCCCCCTAACACTTCGGTGGCTCTAGAACTGGTTGGTAAGATATTTGGGGAAGAAAAAATCTTGGGCAACTTCAACTCTGGCCAAATCTCCTCACAGGCCAATGAAATTCACATTTCTTTCTGTACTCTGCCATCTTTCTCTTTTAAAATGATGACAACCCAATGCTAACTTCTCTCCTCAGCCATAAAAAGAGTTTAAATTCCTCTAGTGCAGGTAACCAAGCCTAGAAACAGAGTGACATGTCACAGCTGTGCCTCCTCTTTCTATTCTTCCAAAGGCATGCAGAATTTTGTTGGCCCATCAGTGGCCACTATTGCTGTCTAGCTCCCTTTTAGGGTACACGAACTATGGGTCAGCACTCTCAGAGAGGCATGGAGAGCCAAGATACATTCCCAGTATTTTCTTGGCAACTCATATAATAAAATGTTGTGGAGTAGGCAAGGTTTGTCCTTGAAGTCTGAAGCGGACCCTCTCTGCAGCTGTTCTTTTCCTCACAATATCCTCATTTTCACTGTGCCAAGTATGCCCCTCCATATTAACACTTGCTTTCAAATCATGACATATCTTTCACTGATAATTGAACATGAATGAGTATAAGTCAATAGGTCACCTCTAAGTATTTACATGATAAATTTGTCTCTAAATGGTAGGCTTTATTCCTGGTGTAGGATTTTTTTTTACATTAGTAAGACTTATGGAGTGGCAGTAAGAGCAGAGACCCTTTCCATGGTCCTTGAAGAATCACCCTCCAGCAGTGGCTGAAGAAGCCTGCAGTATGATAAATTGAGTCACACCAGACCAGGTCTTAATGACAACAGATAGCATCTGCAAGGAAGGAGTGAGCAGGCCCCTAAAGGAAAATAAGTTGATGTAAAGATTTGTCTTCAGTGCTCCCCTTGTCCCACTTTTATCTTAAAGATCACTCTCCCGATTTGAAGCCTTTTACCCACAACCTATCCCTGGGGTAGTCAGGGCCATTCAGTTGTCCACTCTGGAGCTTCACCTGCTGCTATCTTTATTCTAGAGGCCATTCATCCTTTGTCTCTCTATCAAAATTTATTTGTCCCGTATCCCATTTTATCAATGTGCTTTCTACTGCTAGGTCACATGAAACTATAACTTGATCATCGTTGTTAATAGGATTCTTGGATATATAAGTGGAGAGAGCATCTTAAATGAAATAGGGAGTCCTGTGTTGAGAATTTCAATTTCCAGGAGAGGAGGAAGATATTAGGTGAGGAAGCCTATAAGATTAAGAAGGTGTTAGTATCCTTTAGTCAGTTCATATTCTTTAGTATCCTTTAGTCAATTGGTATTTTCAGTGTGTTCTCATGGTGCTGAGACGGGTCTTGTAGGGGATACAAACATGAGCCATGGCCTCAGTGAGTTTGCAGTTAAGCAGAGTAGGCTAAGGAATCTTGGGTGCCAAGTACTTGCTTGCTTCTACCACTTTAAATCTTATTGTGGTGGGTATTATCATGTGACTTCAAGAGACAAAGGCTCAGAAAATAAACTATTTTCCCCCAAGTTCTATATAAATTGTGAGAGGTGGAGTCAGGATTTAGATTCAAGTTTGGTCTGGTTTTGAAGATTACGTTCTTTCCAGCAGTCCATGCTGTCGCAGAAACAATAGCCAGATGCAAGGTTGAGAAGAGAGTGACAGAACACTGTGTGGGGCTGACATGGACTGCAGTGAGGGTATCAAGAAGAGAATGAACCCGGTGCCTGGAGAACAAAGAGAAAACTTTTTAGGAGAACTGGAAAATGATGCTCCACTAAGTTCTGAAGCCATGAAGACAACATATTTATTCGATAGTAGCTGGGAGAAGAGAGGTCTTTCCAGGCAGGGCGATCAGGTTAAGGAAAGGCTTAGGAGTAGGAATAAAAGTGTTCTGGAGGCTAAAGGGGGGAAACTTTATTAAGGTAATGAAAATTATTCTCTGTGGGCTACCTACTCTTTAACCACATCTTAATTCAACTAAGGGAGGGAGAGTGAATGCAGGAGAGGGTTCCCCTCTCAGGGACAGGAGCTCAGCAAACCCAGCCTTCCTTGAAATCTTACTTGGAGCTACTGCTTCAAAGGAGGATGTTCAGGGTCCCCAAGGCAAGGGGTCTTTTCTCAGAAGTCCCTAATGACACAGGTTGTGGACTTTCAGAAGGAAGAGTGAAGGAACCAGGTGGTTCTCTTTCCTTTTTGGAATCCTGGCCCATTTCAGTTTATGTAACACAGCTTAATCCATAGAAACAGGAGCTAGAAGGCAGGTCCTTTCTCTCTTTTTTTTCCTTCCAAGACATAGAAACCTTTATTTTCTTCCTATACTGTGAACCAGTGCTGTTAAATAATATTGGATAATTGCACCTGTCGTACTCCCCATATTGTGCTGAGGAAAAATAATTGCTGGTTTTCTGCTTTGCAGTTTAGCTGTGACTCCGTCATTTGACTTGGAGCATGTCATTTTCTCCCATTTTAGACTGTGTACAGTTAAACTCTGTGAAAGGACTCACAGCGGCTCTGCGTGTGTGAGTGGGCATGGGCCTTATTCAGCAATGGTTTCTAATTTATACTGCATTGAAAATTCACAGCTATAAATAAACAGTCCTGATGGGCTTTGCTGCCTACTCAAATGCTTTATTAAAAAAAAAGCTCCACCAACTGCATGAGAAAGGAAAACAATGTCTGGATGTGGATTCTGGTTTCTGACACTTGGCCCTCAGAGGGGGGATGCCCAGTTTTGAAGTGGGTTGTGCTCAGCCAGGTGGCCTTCTGCAAGGCCTGGTCTCACCCTGCTTGTTCCTTGGCCTGCTCCCACCCTCATGTGCAGGCACAACGTGTTTGGGGATTATAGTAAATGAGACTGACTTCCTGTTATGACAAGTATTGTGAGTAGGTGCAGAGGAGCTAGAAATAGCTTGAGAAATGTATGACTCTTTTGGAAGGGGTAGGGCTAATATATTGTTTAGGCAAACATAATAAATCTGCTCCCAAATTCAAAGTTGATTTCACACGTAAGACAGAGCCTCCAGAATATAATAAGCACAGGGACCTGTGAGGTCCATGGGGTAGTGTTGCTCCTACCTCTGCCTGTATGTATGGGTGAGAGTTTCCACCAAGTTGGGATCTCCTGACCACCTTCTTTTGTCTTGCAAATATACAAGCACTTTTGCTTTTGTAAATAAAGGTTTTCAGACCAGTTACTGCTTTGCCTGTAATAAAAATGAAGGTGAAGTCAAGAGGCAACTGTCTGTGTAACCTCGGACCAGTACTTTCCCTCCTCTGCACCCAGTGCTGAATTGGAGCCAGCTTGTATAGGCTTGGCAAGACCAAGTGTTGTTCATCTCTTCCCAACTCTGCACTCAGTGATGGTTGATAGCTTGAACAAGGCCATAGTAGAGTGTTTATACCATGGAAATGGGCACACGCTATAAAGCAGAACCATAAATTTTTTTCTAGAGAGTTGGTTTATAAACATTTACCAGCACACCAATCAGAAACTCAGTTTACTCATTTGAAAAATGAGAACATAATACATTTTCTGCTTATAATATTTCTGTGGGGATAAAATAAGATCATGGTGGTAGCTATGGTTGTAAATCATATGACACTATACAAACATAATGGCTAGTTATCTTTTGTATTGTTCTCTAAGCACTAGTAGCCTAATGTATTGTTTTTTAAGCACTAATAACCTAATGCAGCCTTATGTAGGCACTTCAGACATTTTAATGAATGTTTAATCAATATTATTTATAGGTATTTTGTTGCTTCTCTTTTCTAAAGTTACAGCAGTACCAAGGTGCATTGTGCTCAATGGGAAATGGTTCTGTGGTATTTCTGGTGTTGGGATACATAATGCACAATGGCCAGTTGGGCAGCAGTCAAGGTTTAAGTTGGCCCTGAGGACAGTAAAGCCACAAATATAAATCTGCATGTTCATCCCAGCCAAGAGCTTACTATGACTCTGAGAAGCATGCAGCCACATTCACCTGTGGGATGTGGAATGTTTGGGTGATCCTGGTGGGCTTCATATTGGGGGAATTTCCACTGTGACTACTGCTTCTGTTGAGACCAGGTGCTCTGAGCAGCCAAGAAGCAGCAGGTATAGGAAAAGCGGAGGTGTCTCCAGCTCAATCTGGAAATACTTGAGGCTCATATTTACATGAGTGTAGAGGAGTAGGGGCCAAGCAGGTTTCTTGGTGCCTATCCTAGTCTTGCCTTACACTGCCTGCCCTACAGGTATGACCTGTTCTCTTCCCTAACCCTGCAAGACCACTCTTGATATTTTTGAGGAATTTCTAGTGCTGGAATATATATTGCACAATGGTCAATTATGTAGCAGTCAATGTTTTATTTGGTCCCAGGCACAATTTTAGCAGATTTTATGCATTTTCACCAAATTTCTTCTGTACTATGTTTGGTTGTGAAGCCCAAGTACAATTTACCCTGGTGCCCACAACCCAATCCCCCTGGACCTTATAACACACTATTAGATTTGACTATCTCTATCCGTCACTAGACATTTATCCTTTGTGTTCTTAACCAAACATGCCTGTAAGACCTAGGAAATTCCACTAGAAAAGTCAAACCAGGGTTTATTAATGTGCTTACTGACAGTCAGCTTTGTTAAATCATAAATTAACTCAGCAAAGTGATTTGCTTCAAAGCACTCTCTGCACTCCTCATAACTATATTACTTCCCAGTTAGACTGTTCCCCAAGTGAAATATACACTTATTTGACAAGTTAATCAATACTTGAATAGAAGAGATTTTGACAGTGCCACCAGGTTCAGTGTTTATACCTTCCCAGAGTGCTTGCCCACAAAGGGGAAAGATTTCCTAATATTTTTATAACTTATTTTCTCATTGCCCTAAATAATTTGCTGTTATGCTATACCAGGTAGACAACTTTAGTAGCTGCCATCTCCCTACACTTCTATCCAGATTGAGGGGGAAAAACAACAGATGAGCAGTCCATGAAAATAGCTAGCTTATGAAAATGCTTATTTTTAGGAAAGTTGGGATTATTAAAAAATGGCACAAGACTGGGAATTAACATATCTAGGAGACAAAAGCTCTCGTCTCAGTTCTCATACTAAGTCTTTGGCCTCATGCAGGTAACGTCTCATCTAGGTCCGCAACAACTGCCTTTGTAAAGAGTTTGAATGATCAAACTAAACTCTTTTCTCTGTCTAAACATTCTCTAACACTGAATTATGAGCTTCTCTGGCCTATGTCCAGATTTTGACCACAGACCGTCCTCCACAGAGGTCAGATGAAGGTAACGAATTCTGAAACAGCAGGAGTTATTTTTGGCATGTCCAGTGAGCCTTTCAAAATTCAGGAGTCCTCAAATTAATCTACCTTCATAACCCTCTTATTAAATTTAAATATTGTTTACTGTCCTCTCTGCTTTCTTATGTCTCCCTACCACCTCCCCCCACCAAATAAAAAAAAAGATCAAGAAAACATTCATGTTTTCTTCCCTTTTAGTTCTTGCAAAACAGCATATAATCACTTCTTCTTCTTCCTTGACTGCTCCAAGTCACCTGTGCAAATAAGAAGAGAGAGAGACTTCAGACTTCAGGGTTTTCTGAACAGGTGTTCTTACATAGGAAGACATTCATTGTGACTTGAGGCAGTGGAAAGTTGAGGACATGATTCCAAGGCAAGAGGATGTAATTTAAGAAAATCTCTCACATACCCACCAACGTGCTAGAGAAGGCACTCTCCTCCAAAGTGTATCTGTGTGGAACTCCAACAGTCATTTCCTTCTGTATAAACTTACATGGTGTGAATATAACAGAAATAATATTTCCTTTTTTTGTTTCTAGCAAGTGGGGGTGGGCCCTTAGTCTTGCATTCTCATGGGGCTGAGCAGTTTCTAGGCTTCTCTGAATCTTCAAAATTCCTCTCTTACTGTGTTTCCACAGTGAATGGCTAGAAATAAAACTGTTGACTTAGATCATATTAAGTCATCCAAACAGACTTCATAAAATGGATTTTCAGCTTTGGGAAATAATGTTGTTTGTTATTATCCTTTTCTTTATTGATGGGAGGTTTTCCTAGTGGAACACCTTTCAGTTGGTGGTTAGAGAGTTAGGTCCACTTTTGAGTTTAGTTCTTTCGGGATAGAGATATTTTAGGCCAAACACTTAATGGTCATCTTATGTAAGATCCAAACATTTTCTGCTGGCATGGTAAAGGAACTATAATCAATATCACTATGGATACCATATGTAATTATACATCTTATTATTCCAATAGTCAGAACACAGCACAAGTGAAAACATACAATTCACAAAGATTTACACCTATGTATCTATAACTACAAAAGCTACTGCTAGACTTTGAATTGAAAGTTTGAAGAACATGTGCCTCGTTTTAGCTAGTTGGCTTGGAAAAGGGTGAGAAGGCAGATGGTTGAGGGGTATGAAGTGTTACAGGAATGAGATTTGAGCACTGATGGGTACAGTCACAGTGCAAAAGTTGCAGGAAATAAATGGAGCTGAGGGCTGCTGGAGAAAGCCTTGAGAAAAGAGGCCAAAGAAGAAGAAGAATAACGAATAATCTAGAGGAGACTGTTCAGGGGGAAGAAGTTAGGACAAGAAAGACACAAGTGCTTTAGAAATACATGACGAATGATCTCATGACAAGATTCTTTTGTTGTGAAATGATCAGAGACAACATGCAAGGCAGACCTTGTAACAAATTTCTTCATGGATAAAAGCAAGAAAGTAGACTAGGTGGCCTCTAAGCAGCTTTTAACAAAATCTCCTTAAAAAAAATCTTCTCTAGAGCAAATAGTATTAAAGAAAGGCCTTAATCCATTATTCCCAAAGCACCATCATGAGGTCACTTGGCCAGACTGAAATTTTCAGTTGATAAACTATTCTTAGGACAAAGGATCTATGGTCTCAGACCTCAGCCCATATCCCTTCTGGATGTAAGTAGAGGGGCCATGGGCTCCCAAGCCAAAATAGAAGGCCTCCTATATTAGTAGGTATAGCCAGGAGGCAGTCAGTTCATTGTCCATTACTCTATATTAATATTTCTAAACTTTGCCTAAATATTTCATAATGTGCAGTCAAGGTCAAGAACTACTGCTAGAGAGATACCTGCATATTAGACGGGTCTTGACTGATACTTCTTGACTGCTCAGTACTTGGGTAGTGACTCCCAACTAAGGGCATAATGGGTCTCAGGATTTCAGAAGCAGAGCTTCCAATTAATTCTAGCTTGAATTAGCTTGACCTCCTATTTCACAATAAATTCTTCAGGAACTGCACCATCTCTGTCAATTTGCATTCATTTAGGTGGTTGTTGCTTTTAATTGCCTCAGCTAGGGAGACTGGTAATTTATGCATAAATTAGCAGGAGAGGATTAGAATATCCACTTAGAAAAGAAGGTCACACATTTTTGCTGAAGAAGAATGAGATTACCAGCAATAGTGACCAACTCTACATGCTAGGTCCCATTCTTGGCACCTGACACTTCCCAAGTCATTTATATATGGTTTTCCATTATCCTAGGAGGTGGGTACTAATACTGTCTCCATGACGCATAAGAGAAAACTGAAACAAGAGATACTGAGTGACTTGAAAAGTGTCAGAGATCTGCAAGAGTATAAGATCTCTTGTAAGTAAGTTCTGAGTTAAGGACAAGTTAGGAACCCAGGCAGTCTGGCACAGAACATTTCTCCTAACCACCGCTGCTTCCCACAGCATCACCAATACACTTCTTTGAGTTTCTGTCCTCATCAAAGGAGTCTCAGGCTGTGGAAGGAGGTGAGAAAGTAAAATGAGTGCTGAATTTGGACAGAGTAGGTGGCTACTCAGTAGGTGTTCCCATAGATCCAGAAGAGAAGTTTTGGAGAACTCAGAAATAGAAGAACCATACAATTGACTGTCCAATCCTAGACGATGTGATACTGTACGTGCATGGACACAAAACTACATGGAGACATGTAGCTGCCCTTACTTAGGCGTCATCTGAATAGTCTTAACACAGGTTACATGGTTGAGGGAAACCTTAGTGTTTTAAGCAGACTAGGACATGGTAAAATGTGTTTGTATAAATACCTCTGTTTAGTTTTAGGCAATTTATAAGTATTCACTGCTATTGAAATTTTAAGTGATGTAACCTCTCTTTTTAAAAATTTATTGATTTTAGAGACAGAGGAGTGAGTGTGTGTATGTGTGTGTGAAAGAGAGAGAGAGAGATTCAACCTGAAACCTTGGCATTTCAGAAGGATGCTGTAATCAACTGAGCTATCCAGCCAGGGTTCTGATTTCTCTTTCAATGTTTATTCAGCCATTTGTAATTAAGATATGTCCCGAATTTAACACATTTATGATACTACTCTGATGCTATATAGCATGAATGACTTTTTATTCATTCTATCCTTAAGGAGTTAAAAATCAGGAGAGATGAGAGACATAGCAGTATCCATCTCTTTACAGAAATCTGTCCCTCACACAAACATTCACAGATGCACAATGCAAATGAAGGCCCACATCGTGATGCCAGCTTGTTTGCTCATGGGTCTCAATTGTGGTGAAAAACTAGATATAGTACTCAAACGACGAGGCTTATTAAAAAGAGTTTAGTGTTGAAAATAGTGAATTAGTAATATTACATATAGTGAAAATTTTGTTTTGCAATTTAATAGATGTTTCAAAGTCACTGTTTAACAATTTAAAAAGTAATCATTATTGAACCAAATACAACTGATTTAGTAAAAAGTTATTGTTCTCTGAGCTCTGAGTAATTGATTTTTCTCTGCACATCTTTACTTGCCCAATTTTAAATGGATTAGTTTCTTCTTTCTTGTTTTCTTTTTTTTTTTAATGAAGATTTGGGGAAGGCTTCAGAAATCTTTACTCAGAATTTCAAGGAGCCAAAACTAGTTAGAATTAGATGTCAACATATCTGAAATGTTAACACATTTTTTTTTTTTCTGGAAAGCTCCCTGTGATTTGGAGTCTGATTTTGAGAATAATTTTTAGTATTCAATTTTTTAAGTGTTTGCTTTCAAGAAAGATATTGCCTTTGGGACTTTCTTAACTGGTTAAATTCTCCACAAGTAGAAAACATGAAAAAGCCAATGCATGCTGGTTTATCCAGGGTTTCATTCTCCTCTCAGAAATGTACACTCTTGTGCTGAAACTTCTGAAACTGTTGTGTTTTTTTTTTCAGACACAGCTTATGTTTTCACACTAGTTCATAGATTGGGCGGAAGATGCCACTTCTGACATTTCTATTTTGATAGAACAGAATGGCATGTGGGTGTGTGATGTGGGGGACTGTATGTGACTCTTGCCGTCCTCATATACAAAATCAGGGTACAGTTCCTGCACTTCTCCTTGGGTAGAGAAAAAAAATCATGGGTATTTTGCAACCTGATTTTTTGGTGGTTAATTTTCCAACAAAATAATATTTGGGGGGTTGGGGTAGTGAGGGAAGCAGGGACAATAAAATTTTTCATTTTAAAGTCACCTAAGATTAATTTTTCATATGAAGAAGCAACACTGTTCTACCCACCAATAATTAGAAAGCTTAGCTTGCTGAAATATTCACATTGCCCTGTCTAAATGAGAATTTCAATCTCAAGTACAGGATGTGACCTTTTCTGGTAAATGCTTTACTAAAGTTTGAGAAGCAACCTAATGGGAGACGGGAAGAAACTCATCCGGGAAAGCACTGCTGAGGTTGGAAGAGCTGAAAGGATCATTTTCTTCAAAGCCAAGCCAAACCAAATTAAAACAAATAAACAACAATAACAACAAAACCTTGACATTTAAACATCTTGTATCTCTCAAGGACTCACTTAAAGGAGGGGGACTGAGAAGCCATTTGTTCATGCTGGGAGTGGTGACACCTTGCTCTCTGGGTCCTAAATTCTCTAAAGATTATTTTTAGCCTTGAAATTAAATGAGGTATCGTTTTGGTAGAAGGGGAGACAATTTCATGGGGTTCTCTGATACCCCATGAAAGTATGAACTTCCCTCAGTCTTTTCCTTTGCCCATTTTGATAAGACCTGTCTGAGTGCTTAGGCAAGGGCATCAAGCATCATGGTTTTCTGCTTTGAACTAGTTTCTCCTCTGTTTCCAGGAGGAGTGGAGAGAGTGTAAGGAAGAAGTATCTCTACATAAAATACAAATAAACTGACCCCATTTCCAGTGGTTGAGCTTCTCTCCAAATAGGTAGATGCTGGCACTAAAGATGTAGCTGAAAGAGAAGAAGGCTGCTAGACCCACTGCGCTGAGTTTGGCAAACACTGGATATACCCACGTACCAGTCTTTAAGTAGATCCATAGGACCCTGCAGAAAATGACAAGTCATGGTGATTAGGACAGTAGAGGGGAAAGCTATTGTATTTTTAGATCAATGAGTTTTAGCTCGAGTAAATTAAAAGAAGACATAGGGGGTATTTGTCACCAGTTAACATGTTTCACAAACCTACATAAGTGAGTCTTTTCTAAATAGACTAGATTCAATGAGACATTCTATTTCATAGACTGGGCTTAGCTTGTTTATGTAACCAATTAAATTTGATGATGGTGAAAAAATATGGGAGGACATTGAACACACCATTAGTCAAATACAATATGGGAGAACATGAATTATCCCTTTCCCTGAGGGATATGACCTGCTGATACATGGCACCTGCTATGACTGCATCCCTTTGCTCGGTCTCAGCCAGACAAGTGGGTTTGCATTTCTGTGCCTAAGAGGTATGTCTAGTTTTCCATCACCTCTCTAAGTCCATTGGGGCAGGAAGGACAGAGATTGAGCATTATTACACTAACACAATATGCCTGGGATTTAATCGTTGGCCCTTATTTTACCACATAGCAATGAATAGAGTGTTAAATAAGAATGGATGGAATTACAGGATGCTCAGGTCTTGCTTGTGTGAGGATAGAACTTAAGTCACTTCTGTAGGCCAAGAGAAGGAAATAAATGCTAGGAGAGAAGCCATAATGTCTAAGTGAAGCCTAAAGATGCAATTTTCTGAAAACCAATTGCACTAGGAGATTCCAAAGCCTGAAATAATTTTTAAAATTAAATATGAGGAAGATGATATACCAGCTACAGTTTATAACTGATTAAGAGCATAGAATCTGGAACCGGGTTTCTATGATTTGAATCCTAGCTCTGCAACCTGTCAGTCATGTTGCTTTCAACAATTTATTCAACTTCTCTGTCCCTTGCCCTCATGTGTGAAGTGGGGGTACAAATTCATGCACCTTATAAGGCCATTGTAAGGATTAAGGGAGTTAACACATGTAAAATAGGACATTGCCTAGGATATTGCTTCTTTCCTCTAGGGATAGCACCATGGGAGTCTTCTCAGCAACCTTTCTTTTAAGGTTATGCATTTCTTGTTACAATTAGGATAATCCTCATTTATATTTCATAAAGGACATTCAAATTTGTATACCCCAAGTTAACAAAGGATGGAAGAATGAAATTCTGAAAACTTAATTAAACTTTCAGAACCCCAAGTGTAATTTTATTGTTTCAAATACTTTAAGTTCGTCAAATGCTTGTGAAAGAGACAAAGGCTAATATTGGGCCAGGACTATGATGAAGCAAGGGAGGCACCTATGGCATAAAATTTAAGAGGCCATTTCTTTGCATTGAAAGATACAATCAACAGAGTAAAAAATGCAACTTATGGAATGGATAAATATTGGCAAATCATATATCTGGCAAGGAATTAATTTCTAGAATATATACAGAACACTTACAACTCAACAAACAACCTGATTAAAAATCAATAAAGGACTTGAATAGAAATTTCTCACAAAAAGATATAAAAATGGCCAACAATCACATGAAAACATTTACATCTTCATTTCATTTGTATTTCCCAACATCCTCACTAATCATTAGAGAAATGCAAATCAAAACTACAATGAGATATCACTTCACACTTATTAGGATGGCTACTCTTAAAATTGCAGAAAATATCAAGTGTTGGAGAAGTTATGAAGAAACTGGAACCTGTGTGCACTAGTGATGTGAAAGGGTAAAAGGGTGTAACTGCTGTAGAAAACAACATGGCAACTGATCAAAAAGAGTAAACATAGAATTACTTTATGACCCAGCAATTCCACTTCTGGGTATGTACCCAAAAGATCTGAAAGCAAGTGAATTGATATTTGTACATCTACGTTCATAGCTGTATTATTCATAGTAGCTAAAACATGGAAGCAACCCAAAGTCCAACTATGGATCAACAGATAAATAAAATGTATATATACCCAATGGAATATTATTTGGCCTTGAAAAGGAAGGAGATCCTGACACATGCTACAACATTAATGAACTTTGAAGATATTATGTCATGTGAAATTAGCCAGACACAAAAGATCAAATATTATATGATTCTACTTATATGAGGTACCTAGAGCTAACAAATTCATAGAGACACAAAGTAGAATGGTGGTTCCCATGGGCTGGGAGAATGGGTACAGAGTCTCAGATTGGGAAGAAAAAAGTTCTGGAGATGGATGGTGGTGATGGCTGTGCAACAATGGAAATGTACTAAATGCCACTAAACTATATACATAAAAATGGTTAAAATAAAAAAAATATGTTATGTGTATTATATAAACACAATTTTTAAACATATTTAAGGAAGCATCATTCTTAGGGTCATACAAGTGTTCGATTGGCCCTCAGTCCCTAGTTGTGGCCCTACTAGTGTCACTCTGTTGTCTCAAACTTTTCTAGGTGCTCCTCTCATGTAGTGAAAATTTTGCTAGATTAAAAACAAATGATAATTATTATTTCCAGTAGTTCAATTCTATGAATGTGCAGCCATTAACAAGAGCATTTTAGAAAGACATCCATAGCACTCCTTTGCTCCAGAGCTGTCTCTCATAACAGCCCAGAGAATGTACAAGGGACAGGAAGTAAATAGCCCTGAGTGGCTAGGGTTAAGAGTTTGGGGTCAGTGAGAACATCTGAGTATATTCTAAACAGGTTGCATTAATTAGTTCACTTTGTTTACTTTATATACTTAGAATAAGGGCTTCCTAGTTCCCATACAGATTTATATAAGATAGTCTATAAATAAGGACATTCCTCTAGAGGCCTGGAAAATTTGTTTACTTAGTCAATTTTTGTTTCCTTCAGCATGAAGTTTTGGAAAGTTTCTGAGACAAACTAATGAAGTCTGTACTTTCACAGAAAAAGTGTGAAGAAAGTTGTATGTTAACTGACAGTGAGGAAAGTAATACAAATTCAAATAAAGTATCAGGCAAGAATGCAGTTATTTCATGAAAGGCAGTCAGCAGAGAGGCCTGAGTGAGGAGATGCCACACTCAGTTGGTATCAGTTCTTCATGGCTTGCCTGAATATATGTCGAAGGGGAGAGAGAGGGACAGGAAAATGGAGCAGGAGAGGGAAAGGAGTAGGGAGAGAATAGGAGGAGAAGAATAAAAAGGAGGAGGGAGAGGAAGGGAGGAAAGGAGAGATGACGTGAGAGAATAAAAGAAAGGAAGGGAGGGACAGAGGGAGGGAAGAATAACTTAGCAAGCCCAAACCAAATTCACCATCGTTTTCTCAGTCAGTGTCAGCTTTTCCTTAGCCCCTAGGGGAGATCCCATAAAATCATATCTAAATGTTTCTCCAGTGCACTCATTTCATAATCTCAGTCTAGGCTCCTTCATCCCACCTGGGTTTCTGGAATTGTTTACTCATTAGGCTTTCTTGCTTCCTTCAACCCACTTTCTATACCATAGGCTACCAGTAATCTGATAATCTTTCTAAAAGAGAAACCTGTTTATGGTGTACCTCTGATTCCAGTCAAACGTCATTGCTTTTGGAAAATATCCAAGCTCCTTTACCCAGCCCACCTGGCATTGCCTTGGCCCACCCATCCACCCTCAGATCTTCAGTCCACCCATATTGAACCCCTTTCTCTTTCTTGAATTCACCAAGTTCTGCAGCTTCTAGACTTTTACCCATGCTGCTGTCTCTGCTTGGAACATCTCTGATTTTTTCACATCCTGGGACACACTTTTTGTTCTGGGTCTAGCTAAATGTTTCAAGTCTCAGCTTGAAAGTTAGTTTCACTAGAAAATATTTCCTGAACATTCTTTAACTTCCATTTAGGTAGGTTCTTATGCCTTGTTCTTTCCCTACCCATGTTGCTTATTTGACTGTCTTTCTCACTAGCCTGGAAGCTCTAGAGGACAAGGATCATATCATCATGCACATCAGTTTCCTAAATGCAAGAACACAGTATGTTCTTTGTTTTTAAGTGAATGGTTGTTGGAAAGGCCTGGGGAATTCCAGCCAAGATGGCAGCATAGGTAAACATCACCTACCTTCTTGCACAAACACATCAAAATTACAACTAAATTATAGAACAACCATCATTAAAAATCACCAGAAGTCAAATTGAATGAAAGCCTAACAACTATGGAATTGAAGCAACTGTATCCATCCAGGCTGGTAGGAGGGGTGGAGACATGAAACAGGCTGATTCCACATCCATGTCCTGGATAAAAATTGAGGAGGGATATCTCAGAAGCGAGGTGTCCCAGCCCCACACCAGGCCCCCTAGCCTAGGGTTCCAGTGCCAGAAAGATAAATCCACATAACTTCCTGCTACAAAAACCCAGCAGGGATTAAGTCAGTGGAAGAAACTCCTGGAGTCCCAAGCAGTTCTTCTTAAAGAACCCATACATGGACTTAATCAGACTCACTCCCTCTGCACTCCAGCACTAGATTAGCAGCTTGAAAGGCATCAGTGGAATACAGGGAGGAACTGAACTGTCTAGCATTAAGACAAGAGCTGGGAGATAGCTTTCTCCCAGACAGAAAGGTGGGGAGAAGCCATTGCCCCTTCTCTGACCCTCCACACACAGCCACGGAGCTGGCAGGCTGGTGCCACAACTGGGGCTCCATCAACCTGGCTAACACAGTTGGCCCCACCCTGGAGATCCCCTGAGGCACAGTTACACCCAACTTATGGGCCCACCCAAGCTGTTAACAGTGGCTTTTCCCATTATGAGTGACTGGTCTAGGCTCATACTTCACAATTTCCTAAATCCTTTCAAACAATAAATAGCCTGCCTCAGTGGCCCTCAGTCCCCATATTTCTTGCTAAGTGCCCCCAGGTCAGGTACTGGCAGAAGCCAGCCTAGATTCACAGCTTGGCTACACCTGGGAATCTCCAAGCCCAACATGAATAGCAGCCATCTCAGACTTCTTTATAACTCAGGCAGGGTGGCATGAAGCAAAACACAAGTAGGACCGACTCTGACTTGTACCACTGAGAAACCCCATGGCTTGTGTACCCA